ATTTGTGCAAAATTACATAGTAGACAAAACATGGACACTGCCAAGCCTCTCTTATAGACGCTCATTTTTTACTCTCAGTGATTTTTGCCTTCTCCTTAGGTGCTAAATGATCTATTCTTTCTCTACTCCCCTCCTTTACCATAGATAGGTAGGTGGCACAGTGTCTGGCCAAGAGTCAGGAAGATCTGAATTCAAATCCAGCCTCAGACACTTACTAATTGTGTGACCCTGGGCAAGTCATTTAACCTCTGTTTGCTTCATTTCCTCAACTTTAAAAAGGGGATAATAACAGTAGCTACCTTGTAGGATTGTTGTGAGGATTAAATGAGCTAATATTTGTAAAAAGTGCTTAATGCAGTGCCTGGCACACAGTAGGTGCTATATAAATGCTTATTCCCTTAGTAGCTGTCACCACAACTCTGATATACATATCATATACATATCATACTCATATACAGATAAAAGCAGAGAAAAACAGTACAATGAGCACTGAAAGGGAGCTAAAGAACAAGAAGAATAAAATGGTAAATAGTGTCTGGCCTAGCAGATACAGAGCTATCGACTTGAGGGGTGGAGGAACAGTTAAGTTTATCATGGGATTTTTCAGGCATCAGAACGCATAAAGAAAACCTTCCTAATAATTAAAGCCATATAAAAACATCTATTACACAATTCATTAGATGAGCAGTCTACAGAGATGATTCATTGAAACATATGTAAGGGACACACTCTGCAGGTGGTGAGTAAACTGGGCTCAGAAATTATTAGGTAGAAGACAAGTAATAAAACTGCCCACTGCTTGCTTTTAGAGCCTTCTTTCTGAGTTCACCTTCCATTTACACTGTATGTATCTTGTATGTACATTGTTCTTTGTGTGCTGCCTCTCTTTTTAGAATTTATGCTTCTGGTGGGTAGAGACTGTGGTTTTTTGTTTTGTTTTGTTTTGTTTTTAACTTTCTTTATATCCCCAGCACTTTTCAGTGCCTGGCACATAGTAAATGTTTAATAAATGCTCATTGGTTGATTGACTTATGTTTCTAAGAAACTGCATGATGCTTTCAAGCTTTTCCCTGAAATGAATGCCCATTTTTTTAACACCAATTTTTTTTTTGTCAATGCTATATAATTGCAAAACATGCAGAATATGGAATATCACGCCTATTAAAAATATTATAGGCCACCCAAAGCTAAATGGAGAGCAATAGGTGGGCTACTTCATATTATCAATGAAAAATTTCAGAAGTAGAACAAGAGATCTCAGTATAGAAATTTCCTACTTGGAAAGGGAGTTGGGCTAGTAATATAGTGAAAGCGAGAGATAATGGTGGATAGCTTGTGTACTCCACTGGTACCCGCACAGCGTTCAGAGTTGTAGAAGAAGGTTCTAAGCATGTGGCCATCCTGTGGGGGATTTGTGGTAGAGAAGAGAAAAATATTTATACAGCTCTTACTCTGTGCCAGAACTTTATAAATGATCTCTCATTTGATTAATTTGGTGATATAACCTCCAGTCACCTGGCTAGAAAGTATATGAGGCTGGATTTGAACTCAGTTCTTCATGAATTCAGGCCCAGCACTGTACACGCTCTGCCACATAGCTGCCTGAAGGATACGGCTAACTGTTGTACAGTATGTGAAAGCACCAATAGGTCATTATCTTGTAGGATGTACTTCTCAATCACTACCCCACCACCCAAATCTTCTCCACACATGAAGGTTCTTTTTAAGTATTCTCTATTGAAATTTAAATAACCCTTTGAAAGGATATTTTATCAGCTACTAACACCTCATTGTTTACTGGATACTTTGTGGTGATTAGTGAGAACAATTTCTAGGAAAGGAGGGCAGATAATAGCTTCATTATGCTGGGGAAAGGATGGGGAGAGACTTTCTGAATTTGGGCACTTGGCTGGAGAAGACTTGACATCCTAGTGGAGGAATCCACATAGGCAACCACCACTGAATGGTGTTAACAGAGAAAAGGGCATTAAGAGAACTAATTGAATACCATATCTCATGCTATATTATAATCTCTGTTCCATGACTGGAGTTTTGGCATCTTTCAAATGAAAATTAGCCATACAAAGATAGGTAAAAATTTAAGCATTTTAAATTAATTCAGTAATAATTCTAAGATATGCACAACTGGAGATAAGGGTGAGCAACTTTTATAAGTCATCTGAGTCAGTGGTGTCAAACTCCAATGGGACTACTAAACAGGACAGAAAGATTCCTAAGGGCTGTATATTGACTTAGAAAACCATTTATTAACATTATCTATGTTCTACTGTATTTTTATTTATTTTGTTACATATTTCCCAATCACATTTTAATCTAATAGCAGGGGAAGGGAGGCTTTCAGCAATGTGTAGCAAAAGAGCTGCATATATGACACCTCTGACTAAGGAAGTCTATATATATATATATATATATATATATATATATATATATATATATATATATAAAGGTAACGAGAGGAACACAATTAAATCAAACTGATTACAGTCATGGGCTCCAAAACTAACTATCCACCTTGAAGCCATTGCTGTTATTCCTATAGAATCCTAGAAGGTTAGGACAGGGAGGGACTTTAGCCATCTTTTGGTTAAACATCCCCATTTGACACATGAGGATGTTCAGATCCAGAGAAATAGTAACTCACTCGAGCTCACAGTTTGAGGCAGAGCCAAGACTACAATTCATATCTCTAGACTTCAATTCCAGAGTTCTTTCCAGTACACTGTGGTGTGAAAGAAGGATAATTATTTCTATAATGATGAAGTACTTAAGTCTCTCCTTTTCAGGCTGACTTTTCATAGAATCACAGAAGGTCAGACATGGAAGGTACTGGAGGGGCCATCTAATCCCCTGCCTGAACAATAATTCTCTTCATAACTGTATGTCCATCCTTAAGCAGCTGTATATCCCTTCTCTGATCCTCTTTTTTCTCCAATATAGTAAAACAACAACAACAACAACCCCATAGACCACAAAACAAATCTTAAAAAAAACAAAAAACTTTTGTTATCCTTAGTTTTCATTTCCATTTTCAAACGTATTCATTCTGTATGTGCTAGCAGTGCTAGCAGACTTATCTTCCTGAGTTAAAATCTGGCTTCAGACATTTACTAACTGTGTCACCCTGGGCAAGTCACTTTACCTTGTTTGCCTTGGTTTCCTCCTCTGTAAAATGAGTTGGAGAAGGAAATGGCAAACTACTCCAGTATCTTTGCCAAAAAAAAGAAATCCAAATGGGGTCACAAAAAATCAGACACAACTGAACCAATTGAATAATGAAAACTTTCTAGAAATCTTTGTTCCCTTATGTAATTCTTTATAAGAAAACTAGTAAAAGTATTATTTATTAGGATGGATTTTTTTCCTTTGGAGAAGGGACCTATGATTTTATTCCACAGGGAATCCCTAGTAAAGAAACTTCCAGTGAGGAAACTCCCTTTATCCATACAAAATTGCAACTGCTTTGTAACTTAAACTCTTAGTTTCCCAAAACACTGAGAGATTAAGTAATTGTCTAGGGTCTAACTAATATGTGTAATAGTAAGAACTTGAACCCAGGTCTTCCTGACTGAGAGTCCAGTTAGTTCTCTATCCATTATGATGATAAGATTTAGAAACTGAAGGGAAATTAGAGGTCATCTACTCTGAACCCCTAAGTTGGTAGATGATGGAACTGAGGCTCACAGAGGTTATGTGCTATGTCCAAATTCACATTGGTATGAGTTAAGGATGTAAGCCTGGGACCGCTGACTTCATATTCAACACTGTATCACAATAATCATGGTTTATAGAAGTACATTTGCAATCAAAATGCTAAGGCAAGCTAAATCATAAGTAGGTAAAATATGTACTATTTACGAACAAATTCCTAGATTAAAAACAGTATTGCTTAGTAACTATGTTCTAGATACAATAATCATCGAATTACAAATTACTCTCTCCTAAGTGGAACTTTTTAACCTTGAAAAACTAATGAAACTTACAAATTTCTGAGGTCTTAGACAGAAGATATAATTAAGCTCGTTTTCAGTTTTCCACAAAAATATTCTCTGGCTTCCCCACTATTCAAATTGAGGGAATTTCTTGAAGAGTCTTAGGTAATTTCATCTACTGATGAACTAGTTTAGCCATATCTTGTTATCAAGCATTACAAACTATCACTGCAATGTTTCAAAGTCATTAAAATCCCAAATGAATTTTGCCAGGTGTTTATCTCTTCTGTAATTTTAGAAAAATGTAGTTTGATAGAAATTAAAATTCATGTTTTGTCTAAATAAGAATATTCATTTTTTAAAACCTTACAATTTAAACTTCTTCCACAAGTCTTAGGTTTTCAGTTGGAACTCTTTTCCATTTTTACTTTGTATCAAATGGATATTAAATATGAAATTAAATTAAACATTTTAGTGGACTCCTGAAAAAATTCTGAATAGCAAGAGATACAAGAGATAATGCCACCAATAATGTCTCTGGAATGAAAATTTTATACATATACACACACACACACACAAGCACACACACATAGATACACATATATACACATATACATATATATATACATATACACATATGTGTATATATGTATATGTGTGTATGCATGCATGTATGTATATGTACATATTTTTTTCTAGAAGAATAATTAAATCATAGAAATGTTATCAGGTTTTCTTTAAGTTTGTAGAAGCTTGACAAAATGTATTTGATGTGTTTTAGTCCATCACAAATTTAGCAGTCAGGACCTAGTAAGAGAGGAGCTGAATGTTATAGGATAAGTGATAGAGGTAACTTTTTAAAGGTAGAAGGTAAAACAATGAGCAAATAACATTAATTTAAAAAAGGCATCACATTAAAACTTGACATTGTTTTTCTTGTTATTCTAAAGTCTTATAATTGTAATTATTATTAATTCCTGCCTAGTAAACAACTGCATTTGGGTTTGTTGATAAAATTTTATCCCAGTATTTACATAAACATTAACTTACCTTTACTTAGGATTTCTTTTTGAATTCCTGACATCCTTTTTATGTTACCATGGATTGTGTTTTCTTCCAGTGCACCAAGATTCCATCGAGTCCAAGGACTTTTTTTGGGTTCTAGACCTATAATACCAGAATTACATTGAATCAGAGAAGAAATACCCAAACAAGATTATGATGCCTTTTGTTCAGACCAACAGAAATTTGTCTACTAGGTTATTGGGGGTTTTTTTGGGCTGCATCATTTCATGAACTTCTCTGTGAAGGTTCAGAGAGGTTACAATTGACAACAGTGATATATATGAATGTCCTTATTGATTAAATCATAGATCCATGAAATTTTGAAGTAAATAATAATGCAGTTTAGCTTTTCAAGCAAAGCACATTCATACCTGTTTCATTTTATTCTTCAAAACACTCCTCATTTTGTAGATGAAACTGAACCAGAGAGAGATCAAATATGTTGCATAAAGGTATACAGAAGACTAGTAGTAGAACTAGTAATCAAATGCAGCTTTCCTAACTTTTAACTCTAGACTCCTTTTACTACCCTTGATAATACTAGCATCATTAGAATTTATTCTTTTTTTCTCTATATATTTCTTAAGCTAGCAGTTTATGAGGATTATATGTTATTTTGAAGGCAGATCAGAATTTTCTCATTTTCTTTTGATCTGGTTAGTGACCACATAGAACTGGTGATTGGTAACAGAGAACAAAGCTGTAGCAGAACTGGACAATAGAAAGGGTAGAAGATATATATGCCCTATGTTGAGTGGTCCAGTTTCAGGAGAAAGTGGCAAGGGGAAGAGGGGAAGTCATTAATGTAGCATGTAATGTCTCAGCAAAAATACTGTTCCAGAGGTAAGGGAGGTTGAACTTTGGCTAGAGAAGGATCTAATCCAGAAACAACAAAAGAACTAAGGATTTTAGTGGGAGATAAGGTAGAACAATTAATTCAACAAATGTTAATGTAAGAAATATGTATTAAGTGCCCACCAATTTCAGGGAATTATGGTAAGAGGCAATGGAGATATAGAAACTTCAAATTGAAGGAGACCCTTCCTTCAAGTAACTTAAATTGTATTGAGTGACTTGTGTATGGATAAGTATAATACAAAGTGGAGGGTGATGGGAATAAAAGAAAGATCCCTACAGATCTTTAACATATTTTTAACAGAGTTTTAAGGACAGAAACGTTCTAGTTTTGAGTAGTTTGTGTGTATGTGGGTATGTGGGGTGGGGGGAGATGGGGTGGAGAGGAATCAAGGAAAGTGTGACAGAGGAAGTAGCACAATAAGTTATTATTGTTACTATTATTAGGTCAAGTTTTCCCTTGATGTTCATTTAAACCTCTCTTTATCTGTATGTGAATTTTGTGCAGGAATATATAGAATGATTTCTCTTGGACCACAAGCCTCCTCCCTAAGAGTGTCATTGGACCAGTACTTCAGTCCTCCCAGGAACGGCGATGCCAAGGGTCAGCCAGTGACTTGTTATTGATCTAGATCTGAGCTTGATGTGCAGCCAGTCAAAGTATAACAGACGTGATGAACAGGGCAACAATAGTTCCCAGTGTAAGAAAGGGACAGGGTGTAATTTGAATAGGGAAATAGGACACATATGCAAACTGTACAAGGTTAGGACACAATAAAAGTGTAAGAGGCCCAGCTGGGCTGGCTTCAGACACTCAGTCTAAAGAGGCACAGGAAATAACTCTTAAGAGTATAGGCCACTGTCTAGATGTGTACAGAGATAACCACAGACTATGATAAAGGTAGAAAGATAAATTCACAGGAAGAGTGTAGAAGGAAAAGGAGGAAATTCACTTGGTGGCGGCTAAAAAAAAGAGGCAGGAAAAATAGAAAATGGGATTGGGGAAAAAAGAAAAAAAGCAGAGAGAGAGAGAGAGAGAGAGAGAGAGAGAGAGAGAGAGAGAGAGAGAGAGAAAGAAACTCTTCCTGTGATAGAATAGACCACACAGTATAAGAGCTACAGAAGAAATTACTTCTTTATTTATTGAAGTATATCAAGTAAAAATAACATAGAAAACTGATCACGGCAATAAGGACATGACTCCATGAGGGATGGTAATTTCTGAGATCTTTTCTTTAACCAAAGATGATGTAAGAAAGACTACAAAAGAAGAAAATAACTGGAAGCAAGTGGCAGCAAAAAGAGGAATTAATATAGCCAAAAGCAGAGATGTGCAATGTGGGTAATATAAGAAAAAAAATCCACAAGATGAAATTTGAGAAGGAAAGTCTGAGTTAGGTAAAGGCAAACTGAAGCAAAGGGTGATGACAAAGAGTAGTAAGGGTTAACTTATATAACTGACATTTTCAGCTCTAGTTGGCTTTTTAAGATCGGAGGTAGCTCTTGTGTCCTCACTACTATTAGAATTTAAAGAGGTTATAGACACAACAAAGCCCTACTGTCTAAAGGGGCTCTGATACCCACTCCCATCACTACATTCATGGAGAATGGGAACAATAGTGTAGAATTGACTGAAGATAGAAGCATATTATACTGGTTTTCAAAAAAGGAAAGAGAATAGGGTCTGTAAACTATAAGCCAATGAAGATGACTTTGATTCCTAGCAGAGACAGAAAATTAGTTATACTAATTTACTCATTTTACAGATGAGGAGACTGAGATGCAGTGAGGGCATATGATTTGAATGGAGTCATACAGCTGGTTATTGGCAGCACCAGGATTAGAATATGTATCTCTCAGTTCTCAGTCCAATGAACTTTCCAAATAGATAAGGAAATGAGGGCAATTATTTATCTTTTGAAAACTGGAACTTATCCATAAAAACCACATCAACCTAATAGTCTACATAGTAATCAAATAGTTATTGGGGACTGAGGGTCATTTTTTTTTACTCTTTTCCTGGTACATGAATTGCCATAGCCAAAGAAGTTTTATCACCCAGCAGTCAGCCTACTGGTGATGTGCCTCTTAGTGATTAGCTAAAGTGGTACTCAGAAAACGGCCTTGATCTGATTCCCAGGGCCACGTTTGAAACCTTTCCAGCATGACAGATCCTGCCAGAACTTGCACTTTGCTGGCATAGCCTTTGAGAACCTAGGGTCATGTCTATAACCCAAAGAGACAGAAAAATATTTGACTTTTATTTATTTGTTGTCCTTTGGATAATAAATCCATAGCTAAGCAGTTCAAGTGTTGCAAGTAAATGATGAAATTAAATAGTCTACTGCTCAGTTTCTTATGTAATTTGATAGTGATAAATGAGATCAATGAATTATAATTGACGAATTGGTCATTGTAATCTAAGATTTCATTTTACATAGCTAATGTAAAGTGATGGTGATCTAAAGGTTTATATCACATAATTTAATTACTACTATTACTACCATCATCACCACCATCATTCATGTAATATTCATGTAATAACATTTTTCAATATATATCAAATTGCCTATCAGTAAATATTGTTCTCCCTACCAAGCAGAGAGACATGGCAATAAAAGAAACACTGGTTTAGCATACAAATTCATTTGCAAAACATCATCGAAGAGAATGACAGAAGGTAATGATTGATATCATCTTATAAAACACTGAAAATCAGTAGAGAGGAAAAACAAGCTTGTAGAAAGCTTGACCTGAGACCTAAGACAGATTATTGGTAGAGTATTTGTAGTTAAAACTAAAGAACAACAAACAGAAGTGGAATGAAACAAATCTACCAATACATATTCCTAAACCAATCTGTTCTCAGCAATGATGATAGTGAAACCACAAACTTTAGCAGATTACCATATGAGGAAGGGGAAGGGTGGAGGGGCAAAGAGAGGGAGAGGGAAAAAGAGAGAGAGAGAGAGTGAGAAAGAGAGAGGGAGAGTGAGAGAGAGAGAGAGAGAGAGAGAGAAAGTGTGTGTGTGTGTGTGTGTGTGTGTGTGTGTGTGTGAGACAGAGAGAGAGAGAGAGAGAGAGAGAGAGAGAGAGAGAGAGAGAGAGAATTTATTTAGTACTTACTATGTGCCAGGCACTGTGCTAAACATTAAGGCTATGAATATAACCAAGCAAACTAGTTCCTACCTTCAAGCAGTTTACATTCTAATAGGTAAAAATAGCACATGAAGGGGAGATGGAAAGCAGAGGTATACCACAAGAGGTGTGAAAAACATTACTCACACTATGAATGGTATATGAAGAGACCAAGAGGAAGTTCTCCAGGGATTTGAGTAGATTTCCAGATTTTGGGAAGGACAAGGACAAGAGTAGCAGTCCAAGAAAAATCATCCATAGGTTATCATCTGCAGCAGTGGAGGGAGTATCCACATTGAAATCATGGATCCATTAAAGTGAAAATATTACTAATAATACAAGACATATTATTGGTATAGATTAATAATAAACTTTGAGAGCAGGTTGGTCATTGGCTCTGAAGTAAAATCTTTTCTCCCCCAAACTCATAAATTTTGAATAATTAAGGCTCTCTCACTCTAATGCTACCTAAATGACCTTGTGCAACTTAAGTTTTCTGGGCTTAATTTTCCTCACCTGCAGAATGAGAAGGTTAGACTGGATGGACCCTGAAGTCCCTTCCACCTCTAGGATGTCCTCTAATGACAAGGAATTGTGCTTTCTGGTTCTATAAATTCTATGTTTCCCATAGAATATATAATATAGAATTCCATAGAATATAAATTCTGGTTTCCACAAATTCTATGAATCACCAATTTCTTTCTTTCTTGTTCATAGACATCCATGACTGAGATATTAGGTTTATATTCTCTGGCAGCATTATTGGACCTTTTAATTGACAATGCTATATTTCCATGGATATCTCTAGAATCACCACCAGTCAGATGAAAGACTATATCCAGTCAAGATCTTCTCCAATTAGGTTTTGTGCTAAATTTAAAAATTCTTCTTTTCCTGATTTGTAAGAAATCTCATCTCTCTTATTTATTCTTTCATCTTTAAAACAGAATATATCCATTTGACTATACCAGGAGTCCCTAATCTTTTTTTTTTTTGGTATCATGGACCCCTATGGCAGTCTGGTGAAGCCCATGGATCCCTTTTCAGAATAATGTTTTTAAATGCAGAAGATAAGATATACAGTGTAAAAAAGGAAATCATTTATCTTA